TGGCCTCCTCTACAGCCAGTCTCCACAACCAGTTACTGCTGCCATAGGAATGGACTCAGACTGAGCACATCCAAGTCCAAACCATTATCTTTAGACCAAACTGTTTCATTCAGCAATGGCCCTACAGCCTTTGCTGGGCCCTAGCCACATTTTCAGTTCCATGATCAGCCCATCAAGAGGCTGCTACCTACACACAGAACAGCATAAACACAGACTTTCATGACTCAAGTGGCATTCAAAACCACGATTGCAGTGTTTGAGCAGGCAAATCTATTAGATAAGACCATTTTAGAAGTTGGTGGATAAATTATTTTGATTTATTATATTGTTTTCAAGTTTCCGGTATTTTGTATTCAGTAACTATGAAGTGTGTGAATATGAAATTTTTGTATCTTGCTCTTTGATCACTAATCTGAATAAAATTCCATACATGAATAACTATGCTTCTAGTTATAGTGATTATGCGTATAAGTATTCAAACACTAGTCTTTTGTAAGTAAAAGGGCCAGGGCTCAAAATGCTAAATTCAGAGATAAAATATCACTTTGTTTTGTAAATGATGATCAAGAATTTTTTTCTTTAAACTGAGACAATATGTGTAAGTAGAGAATATTGGTACACATATATGAAGCAAAAATTTTAACAAACCCAAGATTCATCAGTTTAATTCACATATCAGATTCAAAACCAAATCAATATTCAAAACAAGCATTGACTGAGCCTTGTTACTCAAAGTCCAAAGGCCTCTGCCATCATATTAGAACAGTAGCCACAACAGGAGTTACACATAATGTTTCCTCCTGCATATTATGTGACCAATGTAAGAATATTTCTTAAGTGCCATAAAAATAGACTGCAGCATAAGAAATTTGTAGGCAGCTTTTCCAACACTTTATGCCTGACGAAATGCCTAAAAATTGATTCAGTACTTTATATAGAGCATCAAAAGTGCATTTCATGAGGTGTGAAATTCTATTTGACAAGAAAATAAAATTTTAACATTACAATCAACGTCTGTATTAGACTGAATAAAAAGAGAAGTGTCCCAAAAATAAGCTGTGGTGATGAGAACAAAACATATCTCCTGGACATACAAGGTTTGTCCGAAAAGTAATGTCAGTGATTTTATTGTGAATTGACTATACGTCGCAGTGCGCTCAGGCCGGTTGGGATCAGTGGAGGGGGAAGTCAGCTTATGAACGCGCAGTCGCTTAGTCGTCTCTGAACTTCCTGAGAGTGACGAAAGGCTTTTCTGTGAAACTCGTTTTTGTCTCCCGTGCAAGCCGCAATGCAGCGCTCCTTGTAACAAAGGATCAAGTTCTGTGTGAAACTTGGCAAGTCTGCAGTGGAAACTTTTCCCATGATAAAGACGGCCTTCGGTGATGATTGTTTGTCGGAACGTCAGGTCTACTGGTGGCACAAGGCCTTATTAGAAGGCCATGAAGAGGTCGGTGATGAAGCCCGCGCTGGACAGCCATCAACAAGCACCACTGACGAAAATGTGACACGTGTGAGAGAACTTTTGAACTCAGACCGTTGTTTGAGTGTTTGTTTAATGGCACAGACATTAAACATTCCAAAAAGTACCGTTCATGAGATTGTGATGAACAATTTGCAGATGCGAAAAGTGTGCGCAAAGCTGGTGCCCAAAGTGTTAACGGACGACCAAAAATCGCGCAGAACTTTTGGACTTGTGTGAAAGTGACCCTCACTTTTTAGACAATGTCATCACAGGTGATGAGACTTGGGTGTTTGAGTACGACCCTGAAATAAAAAGGCAAAGTGCCAAGTGGCACACCTCGGCATCCCCTTGCCCCAAGAAGGCCAGAATGAGCAAGTCAAAGGTTAAGGTCATGCTCATTGTGTTCTTTGACATCAGGGGGCTCATCCACCATGAGTTTGTACCACATGGTACAACCATCAACGCCAAATTCTACTTGGAAGTGCTAAAGAGACTCAAACGAAGGGTTTATCGCATCCGGCCCAACATCGCGGATGATTGGAAATTTCACCATGACAATGCGCCAGCCCACACCGCCTTCCTCGTGACCCGCTTCCTGACCGATTCAAAGGTGCCAACGGTTCCCCAGCCGCCCTACAGTCCTGACGTGGCTCCCCCAGACTTCTTTTTGTTTCCGCGCTTGAAAACTCCCATGAAAGGACATCATTTTGGGACAGTTGACGAAGTCAAAGAGGCTTGCACCAAGGCTCTAAAGGACATTCCGGAGGAGGCCTACCATGACGCCTTCGATGCCTGGAAATCTCGCTGGAAGCGATGTATCGACGCAGAAGGAGCCTATTTTGAAGCGTTTTAATGTGTTGTACCGATCTAATCAATGAATGTTTTTTAATTGACTCACTGACATTACTTTCGGACAAACCCTGTACTGCTCTTGTGTAGCAAAGTTAAAACTGTTTAAAATATCTTTGAGGGCATGTCATCACCAGACAGTGATGTAGATAATTAATAGAAAGTTACTAGATTCTATTGTTACCATGCAAAGGGAAAGAGAATCACTATACTGGAGGTCTCTTTGGACCTCTCTTCTGCAAGGTTGCCTACCCCAAGGTATAACACACCCTCAAATGTGTTTTAGGCAGAACAATAGGTTATGTACTGAATCCCCACTTAATGACTCCATGCAGGATAGTAGATATGAATGCTACATGAGGAATTTTAAGAGATTATGACAAGTGATCAATGAACCTGAACACTAGCTCAGATAAAAGGTAAAGTTGTCCCTGTACTTAACTAATTAAGCGTTATGACATGAAGATGTACAGGGGAGTGCTTGTATACACCCACGTTTTCTTAACCTCAGCATTAGTTGGGGGAAAGCGGTCAGCTTCACACCCTGGGCGCTTTACCCCCAGTACCAATTCGATATGAGACTGCACGCCCCAGAGGCAGCCTGGATAACATGGAGAAGTGAAAATTCTTACTCCACTGCAACTCAAAACCCCTTGGTCATCCAGCCTGTAACCAGTTGCTATACCAACTGCACTATCCCATCACTTACACTAAATCAGGAAAAATCTTAAATCAAGGTTCCACCATATCATTTCTGCAGTACTGCAGTACTAATTTAATGAGAGGTCCTTTTTCAAACTGTGTGTATAAATATATCTTAGAACGAAATTTCAAAGATCCAGTTGACATCATTTGATTATATAGTGCTTATTTTCATGTTTTATTTTGATGCCTTGTTTTCAGCATCCATAAGTAGAAAAAAATTAATGCTACTATGTCTTAAGTAACATTGTACTGTTTTATTTTTAAGAAATGCTGGATATGGGAGAAGAGGATGATGAACAAAATGTGCTTGGAGAGAAAAATGTTAATAATGGATAACTTCTATAGCACCCACACTGAATACATATGTAAATCACTGTGGAATGGGATCAAATATTACCCAAAATCCAGACCCAGTGACTACCTACAAATACTACAGTATTTTTTTTATTGCTAGTGGGGTGGGACTAAGTCCCTTGTACTGCGGCCACTTCTGGCCTATTGTACCAGCCCCAAATGATAGGCGAGGGTGATTGTGGAGCAATTCATGGAATGAAGATTGGCAGGGGAAACCGAAGTACTCGGAGAATACCTGCCCCAGCGCCACTTTGTCCACCACAAATCACACTTGACCAGACCCGGGATCAAACCCGGGCCACCGTGGTGGGAAGCCAGCGACTATTTTTTTTTATTATTGCTAGTGGGGTAGGACTAATTCCATTGTACTGCAGCCACTTCTGGCCTACTGTCAAGTGGGATTTGTGGTGGAGAAAATGGCACTGGGGCAGGTTTTCTCCAAGTACTTCGGTTTCCCCTGCCAATCTTCATTCCATGAATTGCTCCACAATCACCCTCGCCTATCATTTGGGGCTGGTACAATAGGCCAGAAGTGGCCGCAGTACANAGGGACTTAGTCCCAGCCCACTAGCAAAAAAAAAAAAATCCAATTATCTTGTCTGCCAAAGGTCTCTGCAGTTGTGCAGGGGCAGTGACATTTAGGACCTATGTAGGGCATGCTGTGTGACCAAAAATGTATCTATTTTGCCTTCACTGATCTCTGTATCACGAGAGAAAAGTTCTTTTACATGCCCTAATGTACAACATGGGCCCTTGTGAAGGAAGCTGTGCCACAGCCTTTTATTGCCCTTAAAAACACAATGACCTTGGCTTCAGCACATCTGAACCCATGAACCTTGGGTCCAATGGTGAGCTACACCACCAAGACAGACTTAAAAAGCACATTAACCTGATTTAAGAGAACACTTTAAGACACTTTTGATGTTATTCCCAAATCATAGCCTCACTTAAGGATACTGTTAGCTGGATAAAAACCCAATTAAGAATTCACCCCTCATGTGAGGACAGGAGTAGCCCCAGGTCCTGAAATATTTAATTCTATTTCAGAACACTGGATGAACAGTGTCCAGGAAACTAGTAAAACTAACTGCTTGCTTTTTTTCTTGCTGCAACATTTTCTGGCTTTAGGGAAAATGGGGACAGAATAATGAGCTCCTCCCTTACATGGTTTTGAATTACAAAAATTAGAAACATTTATTTGGAAAGGGTGCAGATGAGTAGCAACAAAAGACAGGCACACTAAACTAACTGTCCTGTTTGGCTCAGAATCAATGTACTACTATGATATGAAGTGTGAAACTACATAACTCAATTTACAAAGTTGTATTCATAATATGACACTGGTGGGTTCATATGTATTCTATTGAAGAAAAATGATAAAAAACTTTCCCTCCTTGCATTTCAATTACCATTTTGTTTATTTGTAAAATTAAATTGCTGTTAATATAACTTTTACAGTAAGAGCAGTGGTTTTCATAGACTTATAAGAATAGAGGAGAAAATTTTCAAGAAATAACACTGCAACCACTGAAACTTCAATTTGTGAATAGAAAGTATCACAGGTAATGAGGAGCAAGGATACACTGTTCATGAACATCTAAAACTCAATAAAATAAAACACTGCATAAACTCCTGTGAAATTTGATAGCATGTTTTATTCCACGAATACACAGACAATACGGCAAGTAACAATGTTGAGACTTTGTACATTCTGGCTGAGATTCATTCTTCTACTAGTCACTCCCACACAAGAATATTCACCCACTTGTCTTCAGAACGTTGTGTATATAAATCTCACTTCCTACCTCTTGTACATTCTCATGAAGATACCTACAGCTTGCATGTGCACATCAAATATCTACACTGTTCAGAAACTGCTGTAGACATCATATGTTGCCATATTTACCTGAATGAAACTAAAACAGCATGGTTCCCATGAAGGAAAAGCCACATGTAATTTAAAAATATAACAACAGAGATAAACATAATGGGCTCACAATACATATAAAAAGATCCCTTCATTTGTGCTCCTTATGTTAGATAACAACCAGTGTGCAGATAAGTTTTAAATTGTGCCAAAACGGAAGACGTCATGGTTCTGAAACTTTCAATATTCTGCTGAATCTTCTGAACAGAGCTTGAATTAGAGGAATTTGAAAAAAGTATTAACTACAGGACAGAAATGCAGGCCAATGTGATCTGTGTCACCCAGCATGCAAACCACTTTTTGAAATTGAGCAGATAAAATACTGGTCATGTCTTTGGTTCTTCAGTACCACTTGGATACCAGAGGTTGTTGCCAAAAACTCCCTACGTTTCCAAAAATTCAGACCAATATGAAAGGCGGTAACAAGTTCTTGCTTAGGTTCAAACTTACAATTCTAGAAAATTATGAAAAATGTCCCAACTGTCATTACACATTTGAATCAGTTGCTGTTTTCCCTTTCAAATGTTTAATATAAAACACATCCCACATGAGAGCTTCTGCAAATATAATTTTATGCAGTGTTAATATTACTACAATTCTACATTTTATACTTCCTAACTAGCGAACTAAAAACTGTGTATTTTACATCTAAAATAAATCCCTTATGGGATCATGTGAAGAACTGATCTGACAAAGAGTCACAAAGCAGAATACATTACAGTCAGTGTTTTTCCCTATAACTAACCTACCGGGACCTAACCTACCTAACACAAACACTGGAACGCATTTAATTGTCTCGTTCACACCCTTACAACTGTCACTCATAAGTCAATGCCATTCACACGACGAGTTTCAAGAGAGCTTTTCGTGGAAACTGACTTAAACGTATAGGTACACAGAAACACTGATTACAAAGTTTTCAAACCGATATGTCCACTTCAGATCTGCAAATCCTTCCAGCTCAGGACATCACCAGGGCCAAAAGGACTGAGATTATGGGCCTTGCAAACAGCTACTGTCTATTGGTAACACAAAGTCGCTTTTGGTACCAATTTTTAGCATTCCGTATGAGACACTGCTAAGATCAGAACTGCCTATCATGACATACTGTTCTGTGTCTCAGACTGTCAGAAGCAACTATGATAAAATTTAGGCCTACTGTTTACTGACCCATAATCATCCATTTACAGTTGTTTATTCCTTTACATATATCCAATCCCTTTCACACATTCTGAATCTTCAGGCAATAGAAATGAAAACACAGTATCCACCCTCCTCTTCACCACTCTTTAATGAGATGAGTATATGTAAAAATGATTTGTGTATGATCCCTTGCAGGAAACAATTTGATAAACACATAAGCCAGACAAAACTGCTAGTCATCTGAAGCTTCATAAGGATGTTGCTGTTCTGAAAATACTTTTATCACATGTACACAAATCCACCACCTTGTGGCAGATATTTGTTGAGTATATTAACAGCAATTATATGTACAGGAAATGTAGTATTAACTTGATACATCGAGTGATCTGGCACAGAGCCCCAGACTTGATACATGCCTTCAAATGGCACATTTGTGCTCTTGCATGTTACTGAACATAAAACATGGTTCACTGTTCTATTAATGGTGTACAAGTGAGTACTGCATCTATTATAAATATATGAAAATTAACTGCAAGTAATAAAGAATAAATCACAAATGAAAACTATATGGATATGTATAAATATTCACATGCCAGAAAAATTTATATTGACTGACAAAAATTATCTCCAGGCAGGTTTACACGACACTGCAAAATGCCTTCTCCTGCTAAAGATTTGGTGTTTAGTTGGTATGAATTAAAAAAAAAAGATGTGCATTACACCTGTCAGTTTGATGATGGGGAAACAACTAAGGAGGGTGGTCTTCAGTTATCTGTGCCATGATCTACTGATAAAACTCACGAGGTCTTTTGTTCAGGACAAATTCCCTGTTTTACATACAATCATAAACATATGATTAAAACAGTTACAAATCTGTCAATTAATTAATCAATTAATATTAGAACATTTAATGCCATTTCTTCCTAAATCATAGTTGTTCCGAAGTTCCTGTACTGAGTTGGAATCTTGTAACCATTTCAAACTGCGCACCCTACCAAATAGTGAGGAACAAACCAGAAATAACTCAAAACACTAGAACAATAAAAAAAATTAACCTTTCAAAATCATATTATAATCAGAAGTGAGAAGTACAGTTTCCTATGAGATATCCAAATACTGGGCATGTAGTTGGTACAATCCTCACTCTCAGCACTACAGCTGGTCCCAGCCAACTAACATAGCTGCCAAACTATGTAACAAGTCCACTTTCTTGCCACAAGATGAGACTACAGGATAGTTTCCCACAATTCAGAGCTGTTTTTCCTATGTTGTCCATAGAATGAATGCCACAATAGCAGATGACAAGTGATATCTGACGAGATGATACGTTAATAAGTGATGGATGAGGCAAGGTGCAAGTAGTGGTTGTGTCATGTAAGCTGGTGTCAATATGCCTTCCTTCAGACACTTCAGTATGGTGCAAATCGATTGTACCCACTCCGGTAAACTGCTGCCTGAAACACAGATGCATCAGAAATTAATTAACTTAAACAACGTGCAGGTCCCCGGGACTTTTATGAAAGAATTACACTTGCACAGTACAGTATCTCACAGCAGAGGGCTACTTACTACATGTTACTCCTATTCTAAGCCTGATTTCTTGTTCTGGATAATATAACTAAATGCATAAGCAAATAAATAAACAAGCAGAACTTTTCTTTATGTTCAGTCACCGTTACGACACAATCTACAATAGAGTAATTAGGCAGTAATACTATACTATACAACCTCTTCCATATGTAATACACTAGCCAGTGTATGGAGAAATAGCAGTACAAGTAAAAAAGGGAATGTAGAAATACATTATCCGACAATGCACAGAAAGGGCTTAACATGTACCACATCACTGCGATGACTGAGCATTAACATAAATTGACATCAACTGTACTACTACACAAGTCATTCTTTTTTTGTGGATTATTCTACTAAGATTAGTAGCTAGACTATCCAGCACAGAATGGTAGAATGACAGATGAATGAGAAACTATAAAAGAGCTCAGCCAGGACAGCAGATCTTCTGGCTAAGATTCAAACAGAGCATATTTCAAACAGTCTAGAGCATTACCACTATGTCACCATGCCTAAAACTCAAAATAGGAAAGAATACATATAATTATTATAAAAATGTGTATCAGCATATAATAGTACACTTGATACAGGAGAAAAATGGTTATAATGTTACACTACTTGTATTCTCCAGTCATTCCTATATTGCCAATAAAAGTAATTATGAATATATGCATATTTACAGGAAACAATAAATGGCGGAGACTGCAATGCAGTGCAACGCAATGGGCATGAAGTGATATACTTCTGTAAAAACTTACATACTTTTTAGCTTCTCTCTGATATAATGGTATGGAAAGGTGAACAACTGAGGTACGAAGAGTCAGTAAATATTTAGAAGTGATCGTGATTCATCTACATTGCATATCACAAAAAGCCACATGCATATTCCTCCGAGTTTCACTTTACAGGATGTAAGGACATAAGTCTGATGATACACTGGTAATTTACATCACAATATTATGGCATATTTGCTCAAGGCAAGAACTGTGAAGCCAGCGTACACAGCCATTACTGAGGAATGGCTTTGCAAACACAAGCATGCTGAACAGCAACATCTGGATACAACAATATTGGGAAGCACCGTTTTCTGTGTCCTCTACTTCGGTAATCACTTGCAAGTAAATATATAATGTTATAGAAGCATCAGATGTATCATTTATATCAGTTAGAGCACTGGTAACATGAAGTAAAAGGGGGAAAAGAAGCAGTCATCACTTTGAGACTCTTCTACAAAAGAAGTTAAACCACAAAGGAAGAGAACACCATGATTTATCAGCAGCTGTTGTGGGTCTGTGCTAGAAGAATGCCATGTGAGCCGCAGGAATCAATTTGATGATGAACTGTACACCGTGTATAAATAGTGAATTCAAGTTACAAATCAGTCTCATCATTAATTTTCTATTAACTTTAAATGAACAATAACTGAAGGGCACATAGCTTTTACAACAAACTGACAGATTTTTGAAAGAATGAATTTAGGGTTGATCACAAAGCCCAAATTTCATACTAAAACAATGAATCTGACTTGTATTTGGGAGGCAGCTGGTTCAAATCTCAGACAGAAACAGACATCCTGACTGAGAATTCTTGTGCTTATCTCACTTCCTCCAGGAAAATGTGGGGATCGTGCTCCCTAAATTAGGACATCATCACCTCCCTTCATATTCACTCCAGTTCACTCCTCACTATCAATAAATCATTTGATGTTACATGGTCTGAGTTACAGACAGTGTCAAACTACAAGTATAAATACTTACCCCATATCCAGCAACAGGTCCTATGCTATGCCCAAGGTAAGGGTCTGCATATTCACGACCATAACTGGAAAATAAACACACATCCAGCAAAAATAAGTTTAACTTTACCTTTGATATTAATTAGCTGAAATGAGCAATCTTTCAATACACACAAGACAGAAGATCTTTACAACCTGTTTAGAAGTCAGTAAGAAATGGTGTTCTGAGCCTAACACAACCTCTTTGACCTTTCTTGCCTAATTCCCTCAAATATAAGAATGGACCATTATAAACCTAACTGCTTGGTCAAGTAACTGAAACCATAAAGAGTACACTTAAAATTCCTTAAATAAGACCGAGAAAAATAATCTACCTTACCAGCATTCTGGGCTATACAAAACTGATCTTCACAATATCTTCATAGAGGATAATCTTTAAGAATTGCTGTTTGAAGTTATTCTGTGAACAACTTTGTTGATATTCAGAAGTGCCATCTCCGTTTCTGTATTACATCATTTTCTTACACAGTAACACAACCAATACACAGATTACTGGATATTCTGAAATATCCTGTGCTCTTAAACATTTTCATTCACTAAAGTACATATTGGGTGCTGGTATACAAAATACAGTGTCTAGAAATATTCAAATGGACTGTTCCTGCCACTGAGGGACACTTGTTTGTTCCCTAAAACACAAATTATTTCTAGCCCACACACATAAACACAAAACTCATTATCCATGCCTAGCTTTCCTGGGAACCTCAGTTCCATGTCAAGGGACTGCAAATGATACAACACATTTAAATTGCTAGTTTTGGTTTTCAAATTTTTGAAGCTTATGTTCTACTTCTGGAAATTTTGCTTTTTGGCCATGAAAGCCCTCCAATTATAACCGTTTTGCAACACAATCTCGTTCTTCTTTCTTTAGCCTCTAATAACAATTTTACTAATGTCATATTTCATACCAGGAGCACAGTTAGTGATTTACTGTACTTCTTCTACGAACCACAAAAGATCATAACTAACATCCACTCCTATGCAGATAAGAGCCCAGTTTTTAGACACACTTTCCTTAGAAAAAGACAGAAGTACATATGACATTCAAGAAAATGCGGTAAACTGAAATTTGGATATATGAGAGTTACCATGAAAGTTTGAGACAAATTCTGCTGGCAGAACAAATGGATCTGAAGTACAGTTACTCCACACCACAGTCAACTGCAGCCTATTAGGCAGAAGGCATGAGTTTGAGAGAGGGCACCGTCATGCAATGATTCTCTAGAACTTCAGAAGTGAACAAAACAAGTCTTGCTTTTCTGGGCAATGTTTCATCACGTACTATTTTTCAGAATTTGTTAGTACATCCACGAACAAGAGAAGTGACTCAAGAAACGTAGCTTGTGTGGAAACCACCATCAAACAAGGTTCATGATTAGCACACAGAAATGCTGAGGCACATTAAGGCATTAGCTTCTCTAGCATTTCTGCCATCTTACAAAATCAGCTTCATATAAAGTACCTTTTATTGTTAACTGGTTGCACAAACTGATACAAGTCCAAGAGCAAACAAGAGCAGAATGACGCCATGAAATCCTTCAGAAATATAAAAATGATGACTAGCCAAATTTCTCATTGTCATGAGTGGCTACCAATCTGATCCCAAAAACAAAACAACAGCCAATCCTTTGAATCGTCAATTACAAACATTAGTAACTTTGTGCAGGTCATACAAATTACCCAGTTACCCATCTAGTCTATGGGCCTTACAGGTCATCAATTTCTGAGTTTCAAAGCTACCCTTGATTCATATCAACAGGAGTTCACAATTACCAGAAAATGAATAACATCACAGCTGCCAGTGTTGGTTCAGGAAGACAGAACATTGCACAGAATGGTATGAATTTGATGACAAACTGTAATTCTTAAATATCTATACATGTTAGATTAACTGTGACTCAAAACTTTACTGATTATCTATTTATATCTGTGAAAATATAAGCAACTTGGATAATCTACGCTACATTACTGGTGATCAGAACGGACATTGGAGAGTAACATGGAAATATAGGACTTTCAAGGAAAACAGCACAGAAAATGAAGGTATGGTATATTTAGGTACACCCTCAAATGTGTATCACAACTTAAATATTCATATTTTCTGTAAAAGTTGATGGAAACCACTAGGGATTTAAAAATAAATATTTTGTGGGTAACATTATAAAGATATCCTCATATAGGTATATTCTTCACAGCTCAAATAAAAATTACAGCCAAGAATTATTTTTAATCTTGTAAACTCCAACCAGTAATTACAAAGGTCATCCTATTACGCTTGAGTATTACATCTCCTTTCAGTGACTTTGCTCCAGATCTGACTCGCATTTAACTTTAATCTAACAAGAGAACAAACAATTCAAAATCTCAAAGTGTACCTTCTGCTGTTGTGGTTTCACCATAATTTCAGCATCAAATGTTCAGTTCCAACTAACATATTTCCAGGAAGAGTTGTATCTTCTGGGATATAACACTGTGAAGTCTGTTAACCAGTTAAGTGGGCATGACATCTTAACATGTTTCCAACTACACCATAATATAATGACAATCGGTAATGCAAATTTGTATGTTGTGCTTGACAGAACTTCTAGATATCTGAGAGTGTGAAAGGAAGGTGCTGATTGCTTGATAGCTTTCCTGGGTTCGAGTTTTTGCCAGTAAACATTATGGCAGGTCCTAGCAAGAAGATGTATGTGAGTGATGAGATCTTATATGAGCTGTTGCAAGAGAATTAATATAATGATATTCCTGAGTGAATACAGTAGTAACAGTGAAATAAATGTGAAAATTTTGTCATGTGGTGAACAGAGTGTCACCTCTGATGATGAGGAAAATGTTAGAACAGTAGCATGCAGCATGACGTATGGGCAAAGTTACAATGAGGCCACTTGCAGTTCCAAATAACCACATAAACTCAAACCCATACTGGATTACCTAAATGCCAAATTTAGGAGTGTATATACCCTAGAGAATGATGTTTCAGTAGATGAACCTTTGATGATGTAGAAAGGACATCAACTGTGGAAGGTATTCATTCCTTCAAAACATGCCAGATTTCGTATAAAATCATTTGAATTGCGTAAAACCAAATCCGGTTATGTATGGAATTTCATAATTTACATTGATCATGATACTGCCTTTGACGAGTCCGTAGAAAATGAGCCATATGGTTCAAAGGAAGTTCTACAACTAATTGCTCCTCTACCAATCAGGGATAGCTGTAATCATGGAAAACTGATTTTCAAACACATATCTGTTCCATAAGCCGTGCAGCAAACAGAATGACACTATGGGAACCTTGCGTCAAAATAGGAAGGGTGTTCCTGCTGAAATAAAGAGAACAAAACTGAAAAAGGGAGAACATGTTTCAGTCTACAAAGATGGACTAATGATAATGGTAGTGGAAAAACAAAAAAAAAAGATATTTGTCTCATGAATACCACTCATGATAAAATGGTTCAACTAAGATTTGAGGGAGTGACATGGAGAAGCCCAAAGCAGCTGTTGACTACAATTCAAGGACGGGCGGGGCGGACCTCAATGATGCTAACTTGACAAGCTATTGCAGTACAAGGAAAAGACAAAAAAAAAACTATCAAAAGCAATTACAATGGAATTTCAAGTGAAACTTATAGAAAATTTAATTAAAAATGTCACATAACAGAAGACAGACCATTAGGCAGACGACTTTGGTGATTAGAAAGTGTGCTATAGGCTGGTATAGATACCTAAATCATAATTATGAAGACCTGCACAGTATCTGCCACAGGGAGTTGCAACGTTTCTGGTGGTATAATCGTTTTAGTGATGATTTCATAGTTTGTATAAGATAACAATCTAGCGGTTGATGTTTGGAGGTACAAACAGCTTTTGCTGCACAGTTCAATCATCCATAGTAGTCTTGAATTTGCAAAGGAAGTGCATATTTAGCACACATGGCAGTAAGAAACGACTGTTATCGATGAGACAGCCAGAGCCATAGTAGGTCATAGTGAAATGTAGCAATAATTACAACATGTGAGTGTGTGTTTAGGGTCAAGGTAGTTTCTTCTGTCAGTTTCTATGACTGTTTCATTTGTAACACCAGATGCTGATCAGCATACAGTGAATGTGCATGCGTCAGACATACCTTTGTGATCATGGATCATGTATTTGGAACTGAAATGCATGTCAGTGGCATACTTTTTGAGAAAATGNCACATGGTTGAGATACTTAATTTTAAAAAGGGAGCAACAATTACAAAATTAAAAACCACAGTAACAAATTTAAACGTCTGACTGTGGGAAGAAATGGAAAATATATACTTAACTGGCTAAGTCAACTGATATTTCAAAGAAAACATTTCACTTTCCTTTCTGCTGCTTCATGCTGGTTTCTTGCCCAGCTTACTCTACAACAGTGAAGGTGGAAGTGAAATGTTCCTCGATATGTCAGCTGAGATTCAATTAATAACACAGCATTATATCCCTGAAGACAGAACTCTTCACAGCCACTGCTGTTGAGAACCTCAATGGGTCACTGAATGCTTAATCTGAAGTATTTTCCTCTGCAATAGTGGTGAATTCCAGAAACTAACACCCTTCTAAATACACAGTGGTTTCCAGAACTTCTCACAACTTCCACAGTATATTGTCTGATATCTCGACTATTTATAAATGACATTCATCTGGAAGATACAAAAGGCTCATATTTTACTCAGTCCTGAGCAGCATATTTCTCCAATGCCAAGTCCTGACTCACCCTGCAACAGCTGCATAGCCTGCCACGGGTTGGGCTGCAGCGGCCGCAGCACCATAAGCACGTGCAGCAACGGCAGTGTAACTGGCAGCTGCTGCATAACTTGCCTGTTGGGCAGTCGACAGAGGGGTTTTTAGTAGCGGGGTCGCAGCAGCTGCGGCGGCCTGCAACACAATGATAACCAGCATGCAGCAGCAGCAACCACTTCCAACGGCCAGCGAGCACAACCAAGCCAAACTACATTCTACAGCAACAATCTACACTGAGTCCACAGTTGGCAAGTGGTGGCTCCAGTTGACAGGGACATGTCACTGTGCAACTTTTTGAATGGGAAAATTCTAAGCATATATGTTCTCTTTTTATCTCACAAAATACAAACAACTTTATTAAAGTAATAAGCTAAATGACGTTTTAATTTTATGCATTAACTTTTGTGTGATCTCATAAATCACGATACTACAACACTACAAATAAGGCATGTGCCAAAAAATAATAACAGTATTATTTCAAAACAAAGTTGTACCTCTTGATATGGAGGAAAGTGCAATCAAACAACTACATAAATTACCACTTGACGACAATGCTAAATTTAGCCTCAAACTGTTGAAGCCATTTGCCACTGGACATGCCACTCTTGGTTTCAAATGGAAGTCCATATTGCACACATAAAAATTAAGCACTGATGTTACAATACCACGTCCTTCCCATCACAAGTACCATGCTCATATCACCAACCAAATCCCAAACAACCAATATGTAATTTCCAAGTAACCAAGCCAGCCTGTAAGCAGACTTTATACACCAAACACTGCTAGAGTTAGATATCCTAACATATTGATGGTGCATGTCATTAGCAGGTCAAATGATGTCCACTGAGTTTGCAAATGATTTTAACTTACGTGCAACAGCAAATCCTATCAGAATAATTACATTAAATTCTCTATTGCTAGTTGTGGATATGTGAGTAGATATATAAGTATGGCTTTGCAATTACTGTGATGTGACGGGAGAGGAATGGGGTCACAATTAGAAGTATATGGCATTTACAAGGTATCTATCGATGCCTTGAGACAGACCTCACCAGTTCCTTGTGGTGAGCCTTAGAACCAAACTGTGGACTCCAAACTACATACTTTGGAGCTCCATTTTGTCAATAATTACAAGCAAGTTCTAGCTGGTTAAAAGTATATATGCAATCAAAATCTAGTGCATACAGCATAAATTATTTTCCATTCAGATTTCATGAGCCTTTCGGGAAATACAAAAAAGCAATGCATATTAGGAGATTCAAAATACTTCATTCAAATAGCAAACAACCAGTTTTACCTCATTCGCAGGGTTTCCAGCCTGAAACAAGAAACAGCCTCTCAAACACACAGACAAAGATACAGTAACAGGGTGTCTAACAGATGCAGGCTCTATTTAGATTACAATATCACTTGCAAACATAGCCATGTTTTTATCATTTACTGCCAATTGGAACATTTTCTTAGGAAAAAAAACATCAAATTATATTTAAAATAAACATGTTTAGTGTCCTCTCAATTTAATAACATTATACCTAAAGAGAGGAAAAATATCACACAGACCCAGATGCTGGTTGATAAATACTAAAATTCCACAAGAATTCCTTGAACTTACACAACCACAATATATTAACTGTACAGTCTACATACATTAAATACAGACAAATGAAATGGAGACAGGAATTAATAACTTTCTTTAAACAATGATTTTGTTGCTAGAACCAATAACAATGCAGTTAAAAAATGAGTCATAAGAATGATGTAAATCCAGTACATCCGAACTGTATACGAAAGAAACTGTGCATTTGAGCAAAATTATGTTCAAAGGTTCATGCAGTCCTTCCTGCAAGATGTTAGACACCCAACATAGGCAACATAATGTGGCAACACACACAATGCATTAAAACATACACCACAGCTCATTAAACTTCCTCGTGGACTATTATTTACATGGAGTATGTAATAATGTAAAATGAAATGTACAGAAAAATATTACTGTACCTGTGAGGGCATCCTTTGTAAAATATTTTGCAAAAGAAATTCACCCATGATAACATTCACACAAAATCTCTATTTCATGATGTGTTATCCCATTCCAGATGATGTCAGATATAACAATTTTGAATATCTCCCAAACATGGCACAAACTATCTTTCCTTTAAACATATTACTGTTTATAACAATCTCTCACTGTTTTAATTTAAGTTTTCAATTCATATTCAATATTACTTCATTTACACTGCATTTAAATTATGAAAGCCAATCTGATAATCTGTCCTGATGGTCATATTGCATTAATAATGGATCAACATACTGTTCATAGATTCAAACAACCAGCGCAGTTTATAATTTTCAACATCATTCTAGTAGCAAGTGATTCACACCATCAACCTCAGATTTAATTGAGCTTTTTCTATTGTTTACATTGACTCTATTTATACAAATACTACTTGTAGTATTGTGATGGGCTTTAGATGAGCCTTTTTTCACTACACAAGCCTTAAACTGCCAAGTCAAAGGTTTGCTACTGATAAATTTGATATTAAATCTGATCAAGTATAACAAATGGATATTACATATTAACTATGTACACCACCACACATAAGTCTGCATAATTTAAACAGGAAAAATGCAAGCACATACAACACTAAATATAATATAATTTTACTAAATTATCACATATTTATTCTCTGCTATAACAATGACATCAGAGGCCGCATCTGCTACATAATATCATCATCATTCAAATTTTTGTCTACTGTATATACAATTGTGGCTTAAAATCATAGGAGGGACAGTGATAATGATGAACATGAATGACATCTCTCTGACCCAAATACGCAAAGGGTTTGCGTGTATTTACAAACCACGGGTAAGGTTAACTACTAGTTTACAAGGTAAGATCAGCTAGTTCCTTTCCATCTTAAGACTACCCCATACCAAATATAACTTGAAAACACATTTTTCTGTGTAGTATATTAGATGTTGTGTTCTATAAAACAAATAATGAAATTCATAAAATGTGCTAGTGTGCATGCTCTTTTGCAGTGATGAGAATACAACAAACATCCTTCTTTTGTGGTCAAATGCAAATTTAGGCTACAACCTGCAGTGTGCCAAAATGAAATTTACATGCACAAATATAATTCCCATAATCTGCACAAGATGAATTCAAATATCAAAAAAACCAACAACTGACTTGATGATGTAAAACATCACATGAAGAGTCTTAACCTTGTTTTACCCTATAACATTCATTTTTTTATATAGTCTAGTTCACTGTACTTTCATGCCAAGCATTTTATAATGTAATAATTATCATGTATTTGCCTGATGATGGCTTTAATAGCCGAAACATGTAGCTGAGCCAATTTTGGCATTGACCTTGATACTGTGATGGATGTTAATAAAGAAACTGTATACTATGTTTGCAATTCCAATGGATGCTGCATTTTATCAGTGTGATAACAGATACAGCTTTTAAATAAATACTACATATGTACACGAATAACTTCTTTAGGCTGGGGCAAAAATTTGGATGAATTCTGACAATCAAGACAAGAATTTTTCTCTAATGGATCACTTTTTTCCACAGTATATAATACCAGCTGCTTTCTCACAATGTACTCAAGTGTTAAAGCCAGCCTACTACCTAACCTTTTTCATATCAGATCCTCTTTCAATGGCATTTTCATAAATCGCTCTATTAAAAAAAGAACTCAGTTCTAAAAGCATGTACTTTTCAATATAGAAAGAAAGGAGAAACAGAAACATTTTGTTCACAAGCTGATTCATGCTAACACCTCCAACCATTATGAGTGCAGTGAATGAAGTGTCCTACTACACAAAGAAAATGCAGCTGTACAAAAATTCTTTAAATCCAAAACTGAAGATTCAATGTCTGAATCAAGATCAAGATACTTCTAGTCTCAATTCAATCACGAAAATTTGACACTCACATATGCCTAATATGAGTAATAATTCCCAGCATCTCCTTTAAAAATCTGCCAGATTAATCTCAGATGGATAACAGTGTGAAAGTAACGTGTTTTCTATATAATATGACATATTTTTCCCCTGGAAAATGCTACATATAGCAGTTTCTTTCCTAAAAAGTATGATCTAAAATCTGGGTGTGTTCAATGCGTCTTTTAGCGTGGAACATACCATAAATAAAAATTATATGTGAATATTACGAAGTCACTTAAAGATAGAAATTACCCATCTATGGCAATCTATCCAGTATACAGTCAGAGAAATGAAACTCTAGATTATCATTACTTGTTATGTCTTCATTATATTAAATCAAGTACTGTTTTCATAATACCTTAAAAGCAATTAAAAGCCCCACAGACTGGCAGTAAAGCACCCTTCTAAGGTTCTGGACAATCTTCAGCACTACCCTAATACTTGTCCTACTGCACTTGGATGTCACAGCCTCAAGTTATATGTTGAAGTGCATTGTACCCCTTAAAATTATTCAAAGCACTTATTTACAGTTCCTAGTATAATGTCAAGTAAAATCATATCTTAAAAACACAATCTGTTTCTATGCATAGTACAATAAACATTTATAAGACACTTACTTCAAGTGACTAAGACTGATATTAGCTGAAATGTGCTGCAGTAGATAGCTTTTTGGACAATAAAAGAAATTATGACAGAAACATAAATACCTCGGGTAACAGACTATATGAACTATACAGAAGAAATTAGAAAGAACAAGTTAAAAAAAATGAGCTCTGAAAAAAATTCTAGACAAATATCGTAGAATATGAACCAAATGGGAAAAAAAGATTGAAAGGACTCTCAAAATGATGGAAGGATGATAACACATGTGCTTATTTCATTTAATTTTAACTAACTTTATATTTGGATTCTGTGCATAGAAAACTTGCTGCATAACTAATTTTTTTCTGTTCTTGAAAAATGTTTAGTAAGGATATTAAAGACAGCTGTAGTATATGAATGAGAATTGCTGTTATCCTTCACATTCTCCAAGTACACTGTATTCAGTTACAACCATATTAGTTTCAAGGTTATCAAAATACCAAATTTATTATTCTCTTTTTGGAGACTTATCACAGAATTGGGACACCAGTGATCCATGCCAAGAAATTTTGCTTATATGAAATGTAGAAAAATCTGTGTCTCTGATGCTACTAAGGAGCTATTAACAAGTACAATGTTTCATAATTAACCCCGAAGCACTCAAATAATTGGTAGAATATTCTGGCTACTGGGCAAAAGGTAACATTTTAAAAATATATCAATGACTGGTAAAAACTTGTTACATAAGGATGAACATATTTTGTTGCAGTGTATCAAATGTATGCATTCTTTGCACAAAATGCATAAAATGAAGACCAATTTTGTACTGTACAGTTTACACAAAACCCAAATAAAATGTTCAAAATTAGTTTCATACAAAAAAATTATACATATATATATATATAAAACGTGAAGCTTATTAAAATCTATAATTGCAGGTACTCTCAGAGCAACCAGAATGATTTATTCTAAAAGCGAATGAGGTGGGGTAAAGGGAACTAAAAATATTATGTACATGGAATGTCTCATACACAGCACGATGCAAGTTCATGACTTGAGCAAACTGAAATATGCACTTAGAACAAAACTATAACATTCCACACAAGTGCACCTGCATAGATAATACCATGCTTCTAATGCACTAGGATTGACACTAAACATATTAATCACTGATCATGCCACAAGCGATCAACACTTGCATAAAATCAACTCCAGTTATGGTTCTGTTCAATTATGATAAAAATGTGTCAAATGGAAGGAATGTGAAAGTACTTAGTATGTTTGATGCTTACTCCCACATGAAATATGCAGTTCTGTAATAAATTTAAAATTAGATCACAGTCTTCTGGGTTGAGCTGTCTAGTCATATAGGTGGATACAGACATTTCTCACCACTGCAATATCTTCAAACCTCATATAAAAATTACTGTGCTCAATGGGTTCACAACTCACCCATGTGCATATTCCCAGGTGTCATCTGCTAATAACTGCTATATAATCTATCACAATTCACTATTTATACCACTAAAAATAGTAGAAATGGTGAACAAGTTCAAAGATGCTTGAAGTTTAAACAGTAATAATAGAAAAAATATTTTTCAGGAGCAATGAAATCATTGTTCAAAACTTTGTACCTGTCATCTATTTACACAAATATTTTTCTGACTAAGGATCTGAATTAAAGCAATTCTGGCTCAAATAATTAAAATGTACTATAGCATGTGATGAACTGTACACAGTTTTATCAATTCTCAGATTTCACAACCATAAATGTAGCAGCTGCACATGCACAAACATTTGTACTACATACTGTCAAGAATCATACCACTTGAAACACATTTTCTTATACAAGTTATTGAAGCATAAAGGATTATCACTTCAGTGGGTAAATACAACTTCTTCTCAAACAAAGACAAATTTGAATGTACATCAAAGAATAATGTGGCTTAAGCAAGACAATATAGCATTCTTTGGTAATATTTTATTATGATCCATAACCCATTAATTTAACATAATTTTTCAATTTCCTGTCACTTATCTGAATACTATATAATTTTTAAAGAAAAAATAGGTCCTACTATGATAATAACCAAAGCAAGTGACACATATTTTTTTTCCATTCTTAATACAAAAATTAAAATTGCAGGCCATTCTACAGAAAGATTTATAAGAAACAGAATAAGGTACGTGAAAGTAATACGGCCATGTTAAGCTTTGTTCGTTTTTTCCATCATGTTAAGAAGGTTCTAAAACTTGATATAAAACTCATTCTTATGCATTGAAAAATAATAGGTACCCATGGTGGGGGACACAACTCTATTTTAAGTTTCATGTATGTATAACATGGAATGCTGCACAGGTATGAACTTTCTCACTGGACACTGGGGGATGTTTTGCACTGATGGTGCTGATATCTGCTAACAGGCTGTGTAACTATGAGCATGGCAGTGACTTGGCCATGCTACTCTTCAAGTAAGACAAATGACTGATTCTGATACAACAGTCTTCAGATATTTCCCATACAGACAAACCTGCAGGTTTGAAGAGAATGGATTACTTTTGCCATCTAATTCTTCCTGACCAAATATCTGGTTTAATTCAGCTATGCTTTAAGAAATATCACAGCTTCTGTTGGTGAATGTAACACCATCTAAATGGTGCTAACTGTATCATAACATCTAGGCTGATTCAACTACTACAAGGAAGTACGAGCCAGAGAGCAATCAAGAATACATGAAGCAAATAAAACAAACAAGTACTCACCTGTAACCTGTAGTTTGGGTCCGCAGTGGCTGCATGTGCTGCTAAGAAGGGATCGTAGTAGACACTACTGCGAAAAAAACAATACAGGTGTCACCAAGATTCTGAAAGTACATATACATCTTTTTATTTAACAAAGGACATTCATACTGCTGCTCAGGAAAAAACACAGAATACAAGACAGTAATTCTGTGCAATGGTCCTATCCTGTAAGAGTAATTTTGCTGAATAACATTTTTTAAAATAAAATTTAGTATAAAAAGACTAATTTCTAATTTGAGAGCACTTAGTCAAAATATGCAGTATGCAGAATTGTATTGTGCCACAAATACTTCTAGGGAACAAGATTTTTAATATGTATCACCACCGCAAACACAAGAAATCCAAACATAGCCCAGAAAACAATACGAGACACTACAAGAAACAAAAACATTACCTTAATGATCCCATATATACTACATAATGCTTTTTGACACAAGTTTTAATTTAATTTAATTTTGCTTTCTTACTTGAGTGAAGTACTGAAACTACTCCATTCTGTCTTTATTTTTGTTCTGTGGTTTGTTAGTTCTTTCTTCTTTTACCTCAAAAGAGTTGCAAGCAAAAACAGTTGGAAATAATTTCTGAATGTGTAATTTTAATATTATACTGCAGCATCCTGTCTCACTGTGTAGATCTGACGTTGCGTTACACTTTTTGCCATCTATCTTGGGGGTAAGGGCAGCCAGCATGTAGGGCTGACAACCTTGTTGCCATCTATGAGCCGATTGTCTACAAAATATGGGAACCTCAACATCTCACAACACTATGGGCCTCCACAGCCTGTTACAGGGATACCTTTACTTTTCTTGTGCGTGTGCAACGTGCACATGTTTGACTTATCTGTAATATGTGATGTGCCAAAACAGAATATACATAAATTCATACCTTAAAATAAAATTCTAATATAATCAATAAAATATTACAGATAGGCCAAACCTGTGCAAGGCAACAGCACAATAACCCACTTAACCTACAAATTAGTCCAAGGCAATTACATAAGAAAATCAGAATTTATAGCAGAGCAGCAGATTCCTTCAACACAGCAACTTGTAGACCTGAAGAGGGCTAGTTAGGATGAAACGTGTAGTGGTATACAGTAAAGTGAAAAAGACCAGTCAACATTAACTGAAGTTGCACATAAAAGGTAAAGTTGTCCTTGTGCAATGAAGGTGTAGGGGGGAGCAGATATATAGATTCACATTTTCTTGACCTCAGCACTAGTTGGAGGGGAATGGTCAACTTCACGCTCTGGCCATTTTATCCCCAGGGAAAGAGCCCCTGGTACCCACTGGATAGGAGATTGGGTGTATCCCAGATGCGGTCTGGACAACGTGGAGAAGAGAAAATTCTTGATCCTACTGGGACTCTTTAACTCCAACCCCCTGATCATCCAGCCTGTAGCCAGATGCTATACCAACTGCGCTATCCTGGTTTTATTTACTACCATCACAAATAATACAGAATAAAAATACTTCTCATTTGAATATTATAAATACCCAACCAAAAATGTTATTTTACTGTAGTTGCAACTTATATTTACCTGGAAATTTGATATGTTGATTTTACTTCTTTAAATGAATTCACGTACCTCCAGTTTTCCTGGACTTATTCACAAATAAACATTGGAACACAAAGACAGTTGTAGTTTTAAGTTTCTAACTCCAGCTTATGATACAACAAAAAGTAACTCTGTATATCGCTGAGAAAGGGCAACAGCGTTCGGCAGATACTGAACTGAACAAATATTCATCTATAACTCTGACAGAATAACTAAATCCTGACTCTTGATGTTCCTTTACAGTGAGTCCCTTACATGCAATGAGGAATGTGCAAGTCTGCGTGTAATTTCCCATGAGTCTACATTGGGCAAATTTCTAAATACACCACCAAATTGGGAGGTACTGGACCTATGGTTGTGCTGAAATACAGTAAATGATTAAATGTAATATTAGCTTATCTTACTCAAGACAAAGGTTCTTCCTTCGGGTGTATTTCTTTTGAGTTTCTGTCTTCACAGCCTTACTGGGTACATGTGGTATGGCCAAACAGTTTCTAGACTGGCTGCAAGGTGACACTGCTAGATGATGCTATAGTACAGTCTGCTGAATTAGTTGCCATTAATTTAAATTCTGTCATTCAGCAACAATGAATCATAAAGTAAGATGACAAACACAGAACATGTGCATCAAGTTCTGTGTTACACCAGATAAAACTTGCAGAAATCTATGACATCTGGCTTTTGAAAAGCAAACAATCAGCAGAACTGAAAACATCCCATCTCAAAGTTCAAAAGCTGAATGACTTTCATTCAAAATAAAGTTATTGGCATCCATCAGTCATCAAGGAAAACACACAAAGATGATATGTGAACGAAATATAGGAACCTATTTAAAAAGCAGGCAACTTATCGCCTACAAATTGGCTAATGATGAGAATGCATTTGGATGACAACAAAGTATTTTGATACGAAGTCTACATATAATGGATGCTACCAAATTCAATTTTTCTGCTAACAAGGAAAAGTAGATGTTGAATGACTGTGTCAGAACCTTCAGCAAACACTTCAGAAGACAAATGATTCTTATATACAGATTACAGATGACAAACCAAGAGGTTATGGGCACAACAATGAAATAAAGCAACTGCCTTTACACAACAGAAAAGTCAAGCACCCTCAAAGAATGCCACACAAGAAATTACTGGGTTTCTGAACTTTGTCTACTGTCCAAAAACCCAGTAATTTCAAGTGTTATACACAATCATCAGAGCCCTTTAGAATCTAAAGTTCACACAAGTTCATCCAAATATGAAGAGCCTGCTAACTGTGGTCACAGTTATTAAATTATACATCATGAGTTGGTCCCACGGGAACTAAAGGGAGATCTCTGAATTGTCACTGATGTTAATAATAGTAGCAGTAGTAGAGCAGCCAGGTCATGAAGCTGACAACTCACCTCCAGCTAATGACAAGGTCAAGAAAATGTGGCTCTATACATCCACTCCCCCATACGCCTTCATGGAGTAGTGCTTAATTCGCTGAGCACAGGGATTTTACCTTTTACTGATGTTAGAAAGCATAAAGAAAAAGTTCAGTCCAGAACATTCATCATACCTCACACAATCAGCAGGTGAAAAAATTATTTTCTCAGAAATTCTATGAATTTAATACACTAATCAGTTTTCAATGCAAGCCACCACAATCTTATGTTGCAAAATTACTGCCATAGATTTTAAGTTGAAGAAATTATGATTACTTTAACCTCTTAAAAATTCATAACTACAGTGCTACTCAACATTCATCAGAACATATCTGACCCCATCTTCCTGAAACCAATACAATGAATTGCCCACTTGTCCTGTTCCATGTTCAAATGCTCACTTCAAATTATAATAAAGGGAATGGTTATTTTACAATTATAAACAGTGTAAATAATGAAACAGTCAAGTTCAAGTCATAACTACAAACTGTAAGTTGGGCACAAAATGCTTGGTCCACATAATTTTTGTACAGGTAAAATTAGTTTACTTACATGTATATTCAATATAGACTAGAATAAGTAAAATTAGATCATAGATGCTTCATTAATTACATCTTGCAGTAAAACCTTAGTACAGTGTTCAAGTTATGTTTCACACACTAATGCAACATCTAGAATTCTACAGATTCCTGAACTGTAAAACATGCAATCAATCAGACTGCAGATCAGGAACATCTTTCAAGATTATGAGCACATACAAAACAAAATGATTTACCTGATCACTGCTGATCAGCTCGAACTAACATTAATGCCTGCCATCCTGTCTCTTAGAATTCATATAACCTGTTACTAATTTACTTGATTTTCAGTTATCAATTACTTAGTTTCAGGTAATGAGCATCGGAGGAAATGTTAGTCATTTCAAGGGTAATGATACATTAGGTGTCAGTTCATGTATTGAGAGAGGCAATTTTTATAATTTCTATAACATTCTGACTCAACTGCAACTGAAGATACTGAATACTGACATCTTCAGTAGTAAGGATAAGTACAACATGTGACCGACAATGTACCTCTATCAGACTCTAGACTCTGGCAGTCACATATGCCTAACACCTCACAAGTTTTTAACTGGATTAGCAAAAGATTTTCTGTTAATTTAATGTCATGATGAATGTATTCCATTATTACTCACACAGAAGCCTTCTACCATATTTATCAAATTCAAATATATTGTAACGTGTTTACGTTACCGAAGACGCCGTAGAGATGGTTAATTGGTTTATTTAACAATCTACAAATAACGGCTACAATTAATTATCACACAGTTGCGGGGTTTCACACTTTATAACCCTAATCGCATTAATCTGTCGACACTGTTGCGGGGTTTCACGATTTATAACCCTATGCGCAAATCAGTTCACTCTGTCTTCAGTGGTCACACGTTTACAGTAGGGGAGCTATGTATCACTGTATCACACGCTCCCAATTACACAATCGCACACACGTCCGGATCTTCTTACCGCGACGGCTGCTATACTCCAACTATAGTCCGCTGACTGGAGAACTGTTGATAACACGCTCTCGTAAGCTTGCTCGGAACTATCTTCGGCGATGGCCACGTTATAACTCGGCGGCTGTACAACTGAAGTCGCCGACTGCTACAGTAGAACTCGCTGGTA